ACTGCACCGCTGCACGATCGTCCTCTCGAAACTCCCCAGCGAGGCCAACGAGCGGTACACGATCGAGGCCCTGCAAGACGAACGGCAGTTGCACATGGACATGAGCCGCGAGCCGGGGCGCCGCTCCGACGCGCACATCGTCCGCTACTACGAGGCCGCGCGTTCGGTGCGGCCCGGCGACCGCGTGCTCGACGCCGCCTGTGGCCTCGGCTATGGCTCGACCGTCATCACGCAGAACTCGCGCTGCGCGTCGTACGTCGGCGTCGACAACAGCGACTACGCCGTTGACTACGCGCGGGCCAACTTCCCCAGCGGCGCCGACGATATCCGTTTCGAGAAGGGCTCGCTCCCCGAGTGCCTGGAGCAATACGACGACGCCTCCTTCGATTTCATCGCCAGCTTCGAGACGCTCGAGCACCTCCGTGACCCACGCCCGTTCTTGCAAGAATGCAAGCGTCTGTTAACGCCGGGCGGGCGATTGATGGTCAGCGTTCCCAACGACTGGGCCGACGAGACGGGCGTCGATCCCAATCCTCATCATTTCCACGTCTACGACTGGGGCAAGGTCCTCAAAGAGCTTCGCGACGAGGGCTATCGGATCGAACGCACCGTCTCCGAGACCGTCAGCCGCCGCAAAGAGAACGGCAGGTGGACGAACTACGGCTACGAGTGGACCGAACACGACGTCGAGGCCGCTCGCGGCAAGCCCGGCGAATGGTGCATCGTACTGGCGATGAAGAGCCCCTTCGACGTGTCGGACAAGGCGTTCCACAACTCGGCGTTCAGCGAGGCGGCTTGCGAGTCGCCGACGAACGTCATGGCGTACGCCGAGCAGTACGAGAACCCTTGGCTCGTGCCGAGCCTCGTTACGCGGGGCTTGCGGACCGATCGCAAGCAGCTCCGCCGCGACATGGCCCAGCAAGTCCTCGACCGCCGAGTCCCCAACGCCGACGAGGCCGCCGCCCTGTGCGTCAAGGCGTACACGCTGCTCGGCGACGGCGCGGCGTGGCGCGACGTCGAAGACCTCCTGCAACGCTGTGAACCCCACACGCAATCACGCGACTGGGACAGCGCTAAGCCGATCGAGACTCGTTGGGCCGTTTCGCTGACTTACGTCGGCGCTCTGCTGTCTCTCCAATGCGGCCAGCGCGATCGGGCCAAACAGCTCTTCGAAGCCTGCGCTTCTCTGCCCTTCCTGTGTTACGCCCCGATCCTCGCCACTAAGACCGTCAGCGCCGCGCTGCGACGCGCGAAGCTCGCGCTCGTCGATCAGGACCACGAGGCGGCGCGGACGTGGTTCACACGCGGCGTCGAAGCCAGCCGGCTTGCCGCTACCCAAGACTGGGAAGCGATCTTCGGCGACCTCACACGGCAACCCCTGCCGGTGTTCCGGGAGCTGGCCGAGGTAGTCGAACTCGGCGCCCAGTGCATGGCCGGCCTAACGCTCTTGCAAGGCGCCGCTCCGGGCCCGGTCTACTACGAACAGCTCGACGCGTCGAAGGCGGCCGACATCGAAGCCCTGCTCGCCTACCAGAAAGTTCAAAACGACGCGATCCAGTGGCATCAAGAACAGATGCGGAACCTGCAACACGCCGCCGAGTTCTGGCACGCCCGCGCCAATGACAAGACTAACCCCGTCGAGCGCGTACGGAAGCGCCTGTCGCGGAAGCTGAAGAAATTCCAGAACGCCTTACTGAGACGGCCGCAACTGCAGGGTTAATCCTCGTGATCAACTCCGCACGTATTGCTTAGCCATCGATTAGCGCGCCTCGACAAAAATCTCGGCGTCCTGAACGCCCGGCGGCGTCACCGTGTACGACACGCCGCTGGTGCTTGGCGAAGCGTGCTTCAACGCGACGACTTGCATGCGACCGTGACCGGCGTGCTCGTCACCCAGCATCTGTGTGTTGGCCGCAGCGTCCGGTGGCAACGCTTGAACGACCACAACGTGATAGTCGCCCGCCTGCGCGCCATCGTCGTTCTTATAGGTCCCGAGCACGAAGTTCCCGTCGGCGTCGATACGGCCCCGGGGTGATGGACCCGACGCCTTCGGCACAAACTCGATCGTCGCATTACGCACCGGCTCGCCCGTCGTGAATCGGACGGTCCCGCTCACCGGGTAAAGGGGCGGGCGACCATCGCCGCAACCTATCGTGAACGCGAGCAGGGCGATCGGCAATGACTGGCTATAGCGATGTATCATTGCGTTGTGCAAGTTGCCGATCCGGCTGCGGTTAGAAGTACGGGGACTCGGTTAGGTCCAGTTCGTACTCATCATTGCGACGACACATCGACCCGAGCGTTTGAGTGTCGATCTCATTAGCGACGACCCGCACCGAGCCGTCCGCCATGACGAACGGGCAGACGCCCTGATGCCAGCTGCCGAACCCGACAACCTCCCGGATCGTTTCGTCATTCGGCCCGCGCGCGATACCTATCGACGGCCCGCCGATGCGAGCGAACGCCGGCAGGTCACGACCGTTGTACAACGGTCCGTTCTCTGGCGGCTGCGCAAGTCGTCCCTGCGGGATATGCATCTCGCCTGCGAGAGCCGTGTGGCTCACGCCATCGACAAGGTCCTTCATCCGCACCTTGTCGAGCCACCCGCTCGGTAAGCCATCGCGGCACAGCGGTCTGCTCGAGATAATCACGCCCGTGCCGTTGCCACCGAGCCAGTACGAGTAGATGTCGCCGTAGGAGCCGCCCGTGAAGTCGCCGTGATTCGCGGCGTAGTCGCCGGTCACACCGCCGACGAGCTTCACCGTTTCGGTGAAGCTACAGCCGCAGGGGTAGGTGTACCCTTGCTCATACTCCCCCGTGTCAACAACCGCTTGGTCGATACTCCTTCGCGACGGGCATACGTAGATCGGCGGGGCATGGTCCCGAAGCCGAGCCTCGTGCGAATTAAAGGAACCGTAAAGGTTCCAATCCGCCGCAGCAGCGCCTTCTTCCACGTAGGGCAGTATCCGCGCCAGCCACGACGGCTGATTGGTCTCACAGGCGTTGCCGTCGTAATCGACGCGCGAGCGCAGTCGCGCCGGCGGAAAGGCGCGGGTCGCATCGTGCAGTTGCAACGTCGCCAAGCCGATGTTGCGAAGATGGCTCTGGCACTGCCCGAGTCGCGCCGCCTCACGCGCCGCTTGCACAGCGGGGATGAGCAGGCCTACCAACATCCCGATGATAGCGACCACTACCAACAGTTCCACCAGCGTGAACGCCCTGACCGCCCGACTCCGCCTGCTCATCAATTCAATCATGGTCGATCGATAGGTGACTCGGTAGGCAATCATTTCGTGACACTAAGGTAGCATGCCTTTGCCAGTCCAGCCAATTGCGGCCACGAGACAGGCTCGCTAGTTCGGTAGCAGGAGCGTGTCGAAGCTGTCCGTGAGCGGAGGCGTCGCCTCTAGATCAATAATCGTCATCCCCGCCCCGCGATAGTCACCCAACTCCGCCAAGGCCGCGGGGGCTTCGGCGAGGGGGATTGTCCGGTCCACCAGCCGCAGCGGGTCGATCTTGCCCTTTGACACGAGGTCGAAGAGCGGCGCGTACAGATGGGCCTGTAGGCCGTGGCTGCCGACGATCTCGAGTTCCCAGCCGAGCACACGCCCCATCGCAACGCGGGGGTCGGCGTCATCCCCCACGAGCAACCCCACCTGCACATGGCGTCCGCGGCGGCGGAGGCACGCCAGCGAGTTGGCGAACGTCGCCCGGCTGCCGAGCGCATCAAGCGAAGAGTCGGCGCCGCCATTCGTCAGATCGATAATCGCCGCCCCCACGTCGGGCGTTTTCGACGCATCGATCGTCGCCACCGCGCCGAACTCTTTGGCGAGCTCCAAGGGCTCGGGACGAATATCAACGGCGATTGGCCGAGCGCCGAGCGCCGCGGCCGTCATCACGGCCGACAAGCCAACGCCGCCGCACCCGTGCACCGCAACCCAGTCGCCCGGCTTCGGCGCCGCCTGGATCGCGACGGCACGGTACGCCGTCGCCAATCGGCAACCGAGGCTCGCCGCAACAATGCTCGTCATCCCCTCGGGCAGCGCCAGCAGGTTCACGTCGGCGTAGCGCACCGCGACGAGCTCGGCGTACGACCCCCAGCCGGAGAAGCCAGGCTGAAACTGCTGCGGGCAAACGTGCTGATCGCCCCGCGCGCAGGTATCGCACTTGCCGCAGCCGCCGACAAACGGCACGGTGACGCGCTCGCCGCCACGCCACTTGCGGACGTCCTTGCCGACCTCAACGACGACGCCCGCCAGCTCATGCCCCGGCACGTGCGGCAACGTGCGGATATCCGGATCATGCCCGCGCCACCCGTGCCAGTCGCTGCGACAAAGCCCGGTAGCCTCAACGCGTATCACCACGCCGTCATCCGCCGGCGCCGGATCAGCAACCGTCGCCAACTCGGGCATCGCCCCAAACGCATGATAAAGAACGGCTTGCATCGTAGGCGTGTTGCCTGAGGGGTTAGGAACTGAGGAGCTGAGGGGCTGAGGGAAAGGCCTGGGTCCCCCGTCCCTTAGCCCCTAACCCCTTCCTTCACTCCCCCTGTTGCTCACGCATCACGTCATTCAAGACGTCTTCGCTCACAAAGATCGGCAGCGGCGGGTCGCAGGTCATTGCTACGGCGATCGCGTCGCTCGGGCGGGCGTCGATCTCCAAGAGTTCGCCTTCTTGCCGCACGCGCAAACGCGCGTAGTAGACGTGGTCGCGTAGCTCAGTGATCACGACGTCCTGCAGATCACCGCCGAGCTCCTCGATCACCGCCACGAGCAGGTCGTGCGTCAACGGTCGCGTCGTCTCGACATGGCGGACGTGGCGGTCGATGCTGCTAGCCTCGAAGTAGCCGATCAAGATCGGGAAGGTCCGCGGCCCATCGACTTCCTTGAGGTAGACGACCTGCTGGTCGTTGATCTCCGAGATGATGATCCGCGACAGCTCCATAGCGACCGGCATGACGCAATTCCTTACGGCGACGGCGTGGGGACGGGGGCGACTCAATTCAAAGTATAGCCACGGAATGTCGTTCGTGCTTCCAGACGGGGAACGAGGAATGACCAGTGACCAAGTCCCCATGACAATGACGAGAGGGCGAGGGGCTGAGGGGCTGAGGGGCTAAGGGAAAGACAAAAGGCCGCTTGCGCGTCCCCTCGTCCCCCGTCCCTCAGCCCCTAACCCCTTCTTCATTGGACATCGGCATTCCCTATCTTTCCAGCAGCAGCGTCAGCCCCGTGATGACCACCGCGCCGACGAGGTTCAGCGCCAGCCCTTCGCGGGCCATGTCCCGGGTCTCGACGCCGGCGCCGTAGACCGCCGCGTTCGGGGGGGTCGCCACGGGAAGCATGAACGCGAAACTCGCGCTCACCGCTGCCGGGAACATCAGCAGCTTCGGCTCGATGCCTGTCGATTGTGACATCGCGGCCAAGAGCGGCATTAGCATCGCCGTTGTGGCCGTGTTGCTGGTGATCTCCGTGAGGAACGTCACCATCAGGCAAATGGCGGCCACCAGCAGCGGCGTCGGCAACGCCGCCAGGACGTTGAGCGACTCGCCAACGGCGCCGCTGAGCCCCGACGCCGTGAACGCCTTCGCTAGCACGAGCCCACCGCTGAAGAGTAGCAGCATGCCCCAGGGCAGCTTCGAAGCGGCCGCCCAGTCGAGCAGCTTCGGCGCCGGCTGATCTCCCTCGAGTGTAGGCTCGCCCGAGGGTATCAAGAACAGCGCGATCGCCGCCAACAGACCGACGCACGCATCGTTCGCGCCTTCGAGCCCCAACAAGCCGCTCCAGCCGCCCAGCGGCTCTTGCCTGGTGATCCACAGCACCGCGGTAACCGCAAAGACGGCAAGCGTCCGACGCTCCGCGGCTCGCCAAGGGCCGGGGTCGGGCAAGTCGTTCGCCAGCGGCCGCCCCTGCCCCCGCGACAGCCAGAACGCCGCGATTGGCATCATGACCGCAGCGATCGGCAGGCCGAACGACATCCACTGGGTGAAGGTGAGGTGATCTCCGGTGGTGTCGCTGTAAACCTGCATCGCGATCAGGTTCGGCGGCGAACCGATCGGCGTGGCGACGCCGCCGATGCTCGCGCCATACGCGATGCTCAGCAGCAACGCGTTGCGAACACGCCGGTCGGTGACGCCCTCCAACGCCGCGATCGCGATCGGCAGAAGCATCAACGTCGTCGCCGAGTTAGAAACCCCCATGCTGACGACCCCCGCGGCGAGCATGAAGCCCATCACCATCCGCCTGCCGCTGATGACGGGCGCCGGTGCGTCGGCTGTTGGTCGCGCCCACAACGCCTTTGGCCCCAGTGCGCAGAGCCGGATCATGCCGATCGCTAGGCGCCGGTGCGCGCCGCTACGCTCCATCGCCATCGAGAGGATGAAGCCGCCTAGGAACAGCAGCACCATCGGATCGCCGTACGCTTCGCCCACTTCCTTCGCCGAGAGGACGCCAACCGTCGGCAGCACCGCAATCGGCACGAGCGATGTCACGGGGATCGGGATCGGCTGAGACACCCACCAGACCGCGCACAACAGGGCAACCCCGGCGGTCCAAGCCGCCTCCGCCGGCAGGCCCTGCGACTTCACGAAAACGCCCATCGCCGCAGCGGCGAGCGGGCCGAACCAGAGAGTCCAGTTACGCATCAGGGTCTCAGACGAGGGAGGAGCCAATCCGCCGCTATCGTAGCCACATGCCCGCTGAGAATCACACACCCTCCCGACCGTAATCCGCCGCACGTTGACGGCGTTCATCGGGCGCATTTGTTTGGCGGATCGCGACCGAGCCGCTACGCTCTTGAAGCCTCTTCACCCAATCGGGAGCGACGAACCGATGCAGAAGCTCATCCCACTGGCTTTGGCGACCCTCGCCGCGGCGATGGCTCACGCTCGCGACTGGCCTCAGTTCCGCGGTCCCGCGGCCGACGGCGTCGCGGAAGGCGTCGGCGCGCCGGGCTCCTGGAGCGAGGCCGAGAACGTCGCTTGGCGGGTCGAGATTCCCGGTGAAGGATGGTCCTCCCCGATCGTTGTCGGCAATAAGGTGTTGCTCACCACCGCCGTCCCGGTCGAAGGGTCGCGGGCGTACCGCTTCGAGGTCCATTGCTACGCCCTCGACAGCGGCGATCTCGTCTGGTCGCAGGTCGCCCACGAAGGCGAGCCCCGCGAGCCCCGGCACCGCGACAACACCTTCGCCAGCGAGACCGCCGTCACCGATGGCGAGCGGGTCTACGCCTATTTCGGCATGAACGTCGTCGCGTGTTACACGCTCGATGGCGAACCCGTTTGGCGGAAGGACCTCGGCGCGTACCCGATGGACAACGACTGGGGGACCTCCAGCGGCCCAGTCGTCACGGAGGGCAAGGTCTTCATTCAGATCGACAACGAAACGGATTCTCATCTCGTGGCTCTCAACACCAGCGATGGCGAGCAAGCGTGGCGCGTCGAGCGGGCCGACGAGGTCTCCAACTGGAGCACGCCCATCGTCTGGCAAAACTCGCAACGGACCGAGCTCGTCGTCGGCGGGCGCACGGTTCGGTCTTACGACCCGGGATCGGGCGACGTCCTGTGGTCCCTCAACGCCGGCGGCCGGAGCTGCTCCGGGAACACGGCGACGGGCGACGTGCTGTACGTTGGCAATGAGGACCGCAGCTCGAGAGGCGGCGCCCCTAGCGGCCTGTACGCCGTGAAGGCCGGCGCGTCGGGCGTGATCGATCCGACCGAGCCGAACGACAGTCTGTTGTGGGCCAACCAGCGCGGCGCGGCGGGCATCGCGTCGCCCCTGGTTTACGATGGCCTGATCTACGTCCCCGAACGCCGCGGCGGCATGATGCGCGTTCACGACGCGGCCACCGGGCAGCAGCTCACACGCAAACGCCTGGCGGGCTCCGGAGTTGTCTGGGCGTCGCCCCTGGCGGTCGATGGCCGCGTCCTCGTCATGGACGAGAGTGGCAAAACCATCGTCCTCAACCCCGGCCCCGATCTTGAAGTGATTGGCGTAAACCAACTCGAGGGCGGCCGCTTCTGGAGCACTCCCGCGGTAACCGACGGGACACTCCTCATCCGCAGCGCGTCACGTCTCTATTGCCTTCGTTCGACCGGGGCGATCTAGGAATGAGCC